TGTGTGTGTGTGTGTGTGTGTGTGTGTGTGTGTGTGTGTGTGTGTGTTTGCCCTGGGAAGAGGCCATTGCACCATGAGGTCAGGAGCTGGCTCTCCCTTTCCCTTCTACCTTGCGTAGACTTTCTAGTCTCGACTTTTGTTTGTGTCGCTGTGCTGCCCACTCTGGCTTCTGGCCTGTTTTCCTGTCTGCTTCCCATCCTGCTGCAGCAATGCTTCACTTTTACCTGCTGAGCCATTTCTCCTGTTTGTTTGTTTGTTTTAATGTATTTATTTAGAAATAATGTGTTTATTTAGACTATCACCTAAGCCAGCCTAGAATTTGTAATGCTCCTGCCTCAGCCTCCCAAGTGCTGGAGAGCAGGTGTCTGCCACCATTATTACTTTATTCTGCTTTGTTCATGCCATGTCACACTTCCCACCTGCAGTTAAAAAAAAAGGTAAGAAAAATAACAGCGTAAGCCTGAAAAGGTCAGGGGCTAGCTTACGGGAGTGTTCTCTCCTTTGTCGTTGAGTTCAGGTTGCCGGCAGCTAGGTGTCGTGTGTTGAGCCTTCTTACCTGCTCCTTTTCACAAGTTTTTGTTGTTGGTGTTATTTTGTGTGTGTGTGTGTAATATACCAACTTTTTCAAGTTTAAATTCTTAGAATTAGAGAGAGTGAAATTTTAACTAACAGCCCTCCAAGAATGCTTCCTAATATTGCAATATTGTAGCCATTTTCAGGGACCTTAATGACTGCTGTTGTCCTCAAGGCTTGTAATATGGCATTACTATTGGCAGCTTTTTCTTAATTTCTGCAGAAACATTATAAGAGACAAATTAATTGGCTGATTTTATTTTTATTATTTTTAATTATGTGTGAGTGTGGGTGTCTGTATGTGGATAACTATGCATATCCTTAGTTAATGTAAAAACCCAAGGAGGCTGGGGCCATTGGATTCCCTGGAACTGTATCGGAGGATTAGACTTCCTCTTCTGGTCTCCTTGTGCACTGTGTAGCGCATAGACATACATGCAAATAAGATAATCAAAAAAGAAAAGAGTTGAATGCTACAGCGTACAGTTTTTATCAGAAAACAGTGTTGATAGTTAAGTATCTCAGAGATGCCTTGTTTAGGATGTTGGGGTTGAGCTAGCTCTGAAACTCTAGTTATTTTTTTAAGGGAGTTTTTTTATTTAATTTTTTATTTTATGTGCATTAGTGTGAAGGTGTCAGATCCCTTGGAATTAGCATTACAGGCAGTTGTGAAGTTGCCATGTGGGTGTTGGAAATTGAACCTGGGTCCTTTGGAAGAGCAGACAGTGCTGTTAACCACTGAGCCATCTCTCCAACCCCTAGTTATTTTTTTTTTAAGATTTATTGTATATGTATAAGTGTTTTACATACATGTATGTATGCATACATGTATGTGAACCACTTGTGTGCCTGATGTCCTCAGAAGCCAGAGAAGAGCATCAAATCTCCTGGAACTGGAGCTGTGTGTTGTTGTGAGCCAACATGTGACACATGCTGGGAATCGAACCCAGATCCCTACAAGAGCAGCTCTTTACCCCTGAGCCATCTTTCCTCAAGCCTTTAGATAAGATTTTTATATACTGTAAGAGGAGGAACAGATAGAAACTTAATAAAAGCAGAGGCTATGATTGATAATGTAAAAATTAATAATATGGCTCCCATTTGATGCGGTGTTTGGATTTTTTCTTTTAATGTTTGGAACTTTTAATGTGTTTCCTATGATCATATATTTGAAAACTAAACAATGTATTCGAAACCCTCATTTATTAAGTGTAACATAAAAATTAAATCAGGGCCGAATGTCGCTCAGTCGTGCCTTTGACTTTTTAAACTTGTACTTGATCATGAGATGTCGTAGCTAATGTTTATTGAACACTTCTTACCAGTCAGTCCCCTGCTTTAGACGCTTTAAGCTTGCGTTGTCACAGCTTAGTAGAGAGATGCAGTCACCACTCTTCTAGGTGAGGAAAATGAAAGCACACAGAGATTAAAACAAACTTGCTCAGAGTAAGTGGAGCCAGGATTGAAATCCAGGTGGTCTAAGGTAGAATCTACATTCATATTTCTTGTCTTGAAATGTGATTGGTATAGTTTTAAAGATATATTTCTAGCTTGTCAACTTTTTTCAAAAAAGAAAGAAAGGAAAAAAAGAAAAGACTTTTAATGGTATCTGTTAAATACTTTTTTTAAAGACCAAACTGGAGATTCAGAAAGCTCTCGCGGAAGATTCCACTGTGTATGAGTATGACAGCATTTATGATGAAATGCAGAGAAAAAAGGAAGAAAGTAATCCCAAACTGCTTTCAGGAAAAGATCGAAAGGTTAGTAGCTGAAATGCAGCTTTCTTTGCTCTTGACCTGGATTTTTTTCTTTGTATTATTTTTGTGACTTCAGTAAAAATTTTAGGTATTGTGATGAGTTCTTGGTTCTAAATTATTGATTTGATTTTTAGAATCTAGGTCCTAGAGGATGTCAAGTGAATTATCCGGTATTTTTGAGGTTTGTTTTTTTTTTACCTTGAAACTTACAAATAATTTTTTTGAAATTTTTTCTTTAGCCATTCAGTATACTAGAGTTATACTGCTCCTGATCTGTTTCCTGATTCATTCATTTGTTGAATTAAGAATATCAAGTAGCCAGGCATAGTGGCACACACTTTAAATTCCAATACTGAGAGGCAGAGTCAGGTGAGTTCAAGGCCAGCCTGCCAGGCCTACATAGTGAGACCCTGTTCTAAATAAATAAATAAATAAATTTTTAAGGGCCAGGCATAGCAGCATATGCCACTGGGAGACTGAAGCAAGAGGTCAGAAGCTGAGAGCCATTCTTGGGTATTTAGCAAGTTCAAGGCTAACTTGGACTGTGTCATGAATCATCTCAATAAAACAAACTGAAAAGAACACTAGAAACTAGGAACTAGACATGATGGCTCCCAGCTATACCCTGGCACTGAGTGAGGGAGCTGAGGCAAGAGTATTGCCATGTGTCTGAGGCCAGGCTGCTCTGTACAGCACGTGGGGGTTGGATTTGGGGGGATGTGACACAGGACAGGTTTCTGTAGCCCTGGCCTACCTTGAACTGCATATCAGGCTGCGCTGATCTTGAACTTGGTGTGATTCTCCTGTCTTTGACTTCCCAGGGCTCGGGTTAGTGTGTACCATCATGCTCTCTGCTACACTGACATTTTTAGTAGGAGCCATTGCAGTAGAATTTTGCTAACAAATTTATTCTAAGGTTTGAAAGCACAGACCCATTTAGATTAAACATTTCTATATTAATGGGTATCATTTTTTTTCCTCTTTTCTAAATAATTTAATTTTTTCCTAGCCCAAATATATTCACAACTTACTAAAAGCAGTTGAGATCAGAAAAAAGGAACAGGAAAAAAGGATGGAAAAGAAAATACAGAGAGAACGAGAGATGGAAAAAGGAGAATTTGATGATAAAGAGGCGTTTGTGACATCTGCTTATAAAAAAAAGCTTGAAGAGAGAGCTGAAGAAGAGGAAAGAGAGAGGAGGGCAGCTGCCCTGGAAGGTAAGAGGGGAAGAGGGAACGGCAGCAGACTGCTGCTTGAGCCATCTGCTGTCGCTGGATTTGGGTTATGCTGTCATGACTATAGTGTACATATGAAGTCAATATGTTATGTATGTGTCAGTATATGGCACATAAAGACACAGCTGAACCCTTGAGTAACTTGTTTCTATTGGGCTTTTAATTTAGTTCTTATTTAATTACTTTATGGTCATTATAAGCCATTGTCTTAGAAATTCCAAATGTAAAAACATTTACAAGGCATAACAACATTACATTTACCAGAAACAAATAAACTTTAGACTCTAATTATGTACTCTAGGATGAGAAAATATTTAATACCACTCAAGGAACACTGACTGGGCAGTTAGAAAAAGAGTATCATGAATAATCAGGAGCTGTAGAATATCTTATCTGTTGAATTTAATGCTCTCTTGGTCAGTTTCTCCAGATCAAACTGTAATGTGTACATATCAGTAATTTAATTGGCAAATGCTCTTCAATTTTAAATGAAAGAAAACTAAATCTCTAAGATTGTATCTGGACCAGGGAGATGGCTCAGCAGGTGTGCCCGACAACCTGGTTTAATCCCTGGGACCTACATGGTGGCAAGAGAGCACCAGCTCCCGCAGGTTATCCGGTGACCTCCACATGCATGCGCATAGACACACCAGTCAATTAAAGCCATTGAAAGGCTATCCCTGACTCCAGGCCTAGAGACCATTTACACGTCCCGTGTGATTATGCTCTGCATATGTAAGACAACGCTGCACTGTGCTTCACTGAGTCCATGTCCTCAGTTTGCCTTTGCTTTCCCCCTAGCACGTTTGGATGTGACCAAGCAGAAAGATCTCAGTGGATTTTATAGGCATCTGTTAAATCAAGCAGTTGGTGAAGAGGCAGTTCCTAAGTCCAGCTTTCGTGAAGCCAGGTAAGGGGTGGCAAGGAGAGTATTAGAAGAGAGATACTCTTGACAGTCTGAGGTTATGCAATTTGGGAGTCATTTTAAACTCCTGAAACATAGAAGGGTACATCATTGTGTGTTGTAATGCCAACTAGCATGACCTAATTGAATGCATGAGTGGAGTTTGCAGTTTCTTAACTTAAAAACTTGAAGATTTTGTTCAGCATGGTTTTTATTCTACAGCTCACACACACAAAAATATATTAGTTTAATCAAAACATTTTGGTGTACAAAATTTCTGAATATTTAAGTGCTTTATGGGTCTTATGTATGGCCTTAAAGAAGAAACAAAAACAAAGTATGAGCTTTTTAAAACTAAAAACATTTTAAGGCTCTGGTGCCTGAAAACAGTTACTGTAAGAAGTAAGGAGAAGGGCACTGGGGTGATGGCTTAGAGGTTAAGAGACTGGCTGGTCTTTCAAAGGTCCCAAGTTCAATTCCCAGCAACCACATGGTGGCTCATAACCATCTATAGTGAGATCTGGTGCCCTCTTCTGGTGTGCAGGCAGAATGCTGTAGAAATAATAAATAGAAATTTTAAAGAATTGGGTTATACAGCATATAATTCTACATGATCATTAGATAGTATATAGTATGAAAGGGGCTTATTTTCATGAGTATAACCCAGCCTCCATGTAGATTCAGAAGTAAAGACCAAAACTACCCTGTCAAATATCAGCAGTAGTCACATGTGAGTATTCAGGTAACTTAAAGATAGATAAAATCTAAGGTTTTGTTTACTTATTTGTTTGTTTGTTTCTGTTTGGGTTTTTTTGTTTTTGTTTTTTGAGACAGGGTTTCTCTGTGTAGCCTTGGCTATCCTGGACTTGCTTTGTAGACTAGGTTGGCCTTGAACTCACAGAGATCCATCTGCTCTGCCTCCCTGAGTGCTACCATGCATGACTTAAAAGTTTTAATCTACATTTCAAGTACTGTGCTGCCAATTTTGGCTAATGACTGCTGTACTGTACAACTCAAATATTACCATGTCTGTAGACAGTTCCATACCCATCTCTGATCTGGAAAAGCAACGGATTAGAAGACTTTCAGATAAAATTTTAAGACACTATAGGAATGGTAAGATATTATCACATGTATGTACAGTGTAACGAAATGTAAAAGGGAGAGTTTTCAGAAGGCATATGGATACTGTGAGAACACTTGACTGACATGCTTAACTACATCCAGTCTTCACTGGGGAAAGCAACATTTGTGAGCATTATCAATGAGTTAATCACACAGGCAGAAAAGCATAACTGACGGCAACAGCCAGAAGATTCACAATTTTTGTTGTTGTGTTGTGATGGGTACCACAACTATCAGGTTGATGATGCCTTTCTAATCATGGAAGTTTAAATAGTAATTTTTAGAATTAGATTTAGTACTGTTTTCTATGGGAAATAATCCACATGTATTTTTGGAACTTTTTTAAAGAACAAAATGAAAAATGTAACAATCACAACTTGAACTTTGTGTTGTGAAAACAGAACTTAGATCCAGGGCATACCCTATTTTTCCCAGTTACTTTTTGTCTAGAACTAGAAAAAACTAGAAAGAGACCTTATGTAGACCTCCAGGCTCTGGTGACCTGAAAGAGAAGGGCTGTGACTTTTACTTCTGCCAGTATTGAAGTGGTCTCAGCTGTGTGAAAGTACTAATTGAACACGTGAGTAGACATCTTTTTGCACTGCACTATCAGACAGTGCATAGAATAATTAAGTTGTATTGAGAACATTACATGAACATTCCTTTGCTTCCTACAACTAACAATATGGCATTTATTTATAATTTTTTTAATGTTCTTTCTTAGGACTGGAATAAAAGAGACGCTCAGGGATTGCTCTGATGAAACAAATTCAGAGAACAGACCACCACAGCAGAACTGCATTCTCCAGAGTGGGATAAAGGAAGAGGAGGAAAACCCAGATGCTGACAGCGATTTTGACACTAAGAGTAGTGACGATGATGAAAGGAGAGAAAATAAAGTCAACCACAGAAGGGAAGAAGACACAGAAGCCTCTAGGAAACACCCCAAACCCCACAAGAATCGGAGCCACTCACGATCATCTAGTGAAGAAAGAGGGCAAAGTACCAAGCACCGCTCCAGAGGTGCCAAGTCAAGAGGGCATGAGCAAAAGGCAGGCCAGCACCAGGACAGACCGTCCAGAGGCCAAGACAGCTGTCACCTGGAGCGCAGCCAGCGCGGAGAAAAGAACTCTCATAGGCACAGAGAGGCTGATCATAAAGATCACTACCAGAACAGGCATGAGCAAGAAGAGAAGCTGAAGGGGCGGGAACAGAGAGAAAGACAGGACAAGGAGAAGAAAAGGGAGAAATACTCCTCAAGAGAACAAGAAAGAGACAGACAAGGAAATGACCACAACCGATACAGTGAGAAAGAAAAGAGAAGCAGAGAAAAAGAAGAGCATATGAAAGGAAAGAAGGAAAGATATGAAAATAATGGTAAATACAGAGAGAGGGAAAAGCAAGAAGGAAGTGGTCACTCTTCAGAGAGAAATCAGGACAGAAGGGAAAACAGCCCGAGGCCTAGACCAAAGGATGACTTTCTTGACCAGGAAAGATCCAGCAAAATGAAAAACACAGAAAAGGACAAAGGGGACCAAGGGAAGCCCTCTCGTTCTGAAACATTACTAGCAACAAAACACAGACTGGAAGAGGAAAGGCCAGAGAAGAGCAGTGAACAAGAGAGGCCCCCTGAGGCCATGAGCAAGTTTGCAAAGCGGAGCAATGAAGAAACTGTGATGTCAGCTAGAGACAGGTACTTGGCCAGGCAAATGGCGCGGATGAACGCAAAGACTTACATTGAGAAAGAGGATGACTAATGGCTGCAGGACCTGCAGTTCCTGGGAAGCATAGAGCACTGTGAGCTTTAGAAAAGCACATGACTGTGTGAGCACTTGTGTTTTCAAAATTTGTGAGCTCAGATGTCAGTTCTTTCAGCTTCAGGGCTTGGCTGGACTTGTAGTATCGTTTCTAAACTGTTGCACTTTCTTGATTACACTCAAGAATTGGAAGGTGTTAAATCTTCCCTAGGTTCTTTATAAGGAAAACTGACTTCACTGTAACCATTAAAAATAGTTCTTATATAATGTTGCTTTTGAGTTTTTTTGTTATTGTTTTGTGTTAACTATTTATTTTACCTGTATGCGTGCTTTGCCTGCCTGTAAGGCAGTGCACCAAGTGGGTAGGTACCTAGTACCTGCAGAGAAGGCCGGAAGAACTGGATCCCCTGGAACTGAAGTTATACATGGCAAACCACCATGTAGCTGCTGGGACGCAAATCTGGGGCCTCTGTAAGAGCAGGCAGTGCTCTTCACCACTGAGCCATCATCTCTCCAGCTCTGAGGGTTTGGGTTTTTTTTAATTCAGCTTTTGCTTGGGGGGTGGTTGAATGTTTTTTTTTTTTTTTATTTTGGGGGGTGGGTGTTGTTGTTACTGAGACAGTATCTCTCCCTTGTTGCCCAAGCTGCTCTGGAACTCCTGTGCTCAAGGGTCTCAGCCTCTCATGTGCTAGAACTACAGGCATATGACCGACCCCATGCACAGCTGGTCATGTTTCTCTTACTGCAGAAACGAATTTGTAAATATTACCTTGTAAGTTTGTAAAATGAAAATACATAAACTTTAGAAGTATAGAAAGTGGTATATGCTCAGACATTTGTGTTGAAATGTAACGTGTATCATGCATGTGTCTAAACAACATTTTGATCACAGCACACTTGCTTAAATAAAACCACGGTGATGTGCGCCTGCATTTAATTCATTTTTTACTTAGTTTAAATGTAATTTCTGGGGTAGGAACAAGGCTCAGTAGTGGAACTCTTGCCTGACATGCACAGGCCCTGGAGTTGCCATAATTAATATAATATGAAAGAGCAGTAATTTTATTCATGTTTAATTTTGTTTAGATGTCACTTTAGTTTGTAAGTTTGTATTTTACAAGTTCCTAAATTGTGTAAGTAAATCTGTGAGCTGAGAATGAAAAGATGTTTCGTATACTCCAACAAGGAGACTGAAGCTTGTTAAATTTCCATCTCCATGTTCAAATAAAACTACAATTTCTGAACTAAGTCATTGAAACCTGACATATTGTAAATTTATTCATGGGTAAAGAAAACATTACTACTAGGGAGAAAGCTGCTCTCTATAAGCTTGGTTTAGGGGCATGTTAATGTAGATAAAACTATTGTGTATTGATATTTATTATTTTATTATACTCTTAGATCCAAAAAGAAAACAGAGAGCAAATATTAGATCCCTGGCTCACTCAGTGAATGTTAGGTTCTTGCAGACCCTGGACAATCCCTTAAAAACCACTGATTTACACAGGAAATAAGCAGCATAAGTGTGGAAAGAGGAGATTGCGGGAGAACAGGAGTGAGTGCAGACTTTGAACCTAGAGAGAGAGCATTGTTCTTTTCTTAGGGTTATTCTTTATGTGTGGCATAGTTAACTTGATTGTGGTGTGCAAAGTAGTCAAAGGAGGGAGAAATTGTATCAGAGAGAGACGATAAATTCACGTTTCCTGTCCCTGAAGTTCAAGTACTTCCACAAAGCAAATTGGATACTTTGTATAGGAGAAGACGCTGATTGGTTATGATGTATCGATCTTCCACACATAACAAGTTTTTATCTTCTGCCCTTTGTTTCCCCTTCTGGGAAGAGTGTCCTGATTTTCCCATTGGAAAGCACCGAGCACCTTTTCATTGTTAATTTCTCTGTGTGTGTTCATGTGTGCTGTCAATAGCCATGCATGGTGTATGTGTGAGAGTACCCGTGGAGGCCAGAAGAGGGTGTGGGATCCCCTGAAGCTGGATTTAGAGGGGTTGCGAGCTGCAGGCTGTGGGTAATGGAAACAACCTCTGCAAGTACTCTCAGCCGCTGGGCGGTCTCTCCAGCCACCTTTGTTCTTGATCCTTGGGTTCAGGTGGGATTAGAGAAGTTACTGAAGGTGTTCTCTGCCAGCCTTGCTGCCTTGAAGATGAGATAAGCCTGAAAATGCTCAGCAGAGTGCCAGCCTGACAGCTCACAGGGCAAAAACAGAGATGAGGGGTGAGGACCCCGCCTGGTGGCTCTTCAGTCTGGCTCCGGGGTGGAGGTCAATCATTTGTTAAACTATTTGGACCAGCGCTTTTTCTCTTAAATTAATTTGAATTAGACTTCTTCCAATACAACCAAAAAGACCTATTTGACACATTGTTTCCTTTTCAATAGTCCCATGCCAAGAGTTACCAGAAACACTTATTTTGAGGCAGGCTTTCAGTAAACCCTGACTGGCCTCAAACTTCCCATGCTGAGGAGGGTGGCCTGAAACTCAGAGATAGCTGCCTCTGCTGGGGTTAAAGGCACAGGCCACCAAGCCTACTATTATACCATACATGGAAGGAAACCAGGCTTACACGTGTAGCAGGTTTACAGAAAATGCAGAGTTGAGAAAACATGGTGGACAGAAGCTCAGCTTGGACTTGTCTAGGGCACTCCCTGCTTCCGCCGCCAGGTCAGCTTGGCTGGCTCCCTAGTAGCTGTCCATTGTTGATGGGCCCTGGCTGGCATAGTTGAAGTTACTTTGCTTATAAGATTTGGTTTTGTACTTGTCTTCTAGTTCACCTACAAAATGTATGTATCTGTTTGCCTTTTGGTGGGTTCACTCCCAGAAATTGGACATGCTGGTTGATCAAAGGTACACAAACACTCAGTGGATAATGCCAAAGCAGTTGTGTTAAAATTCATTCCCTCTGGGCTGGGGAAATCACCCAGCGGGGTTTCTAGTACCACAAAATGAGTGAGCAAAGAGTCTCTTCCATCAGTGGGCATTACCAGCGTTTATTAACAGGTGAATAGCTCACTGGGGGGTGGGTAGGTGGCGGCTGTTTTTTAACTTACATTTCTGCAAGGTCATGTGTGAGCATCAGAGGATAGTTGTTGGAAGTCGGCTGCCTCCTTCCGCTTGTGGTCCCAAGGACAGAACTCTGCTGGTTCAGGCTTGGTAGCAAGTGCCTTCACCTGTAGACCCGTTCCTCACCAGCCCAGTGTTGGCTGTTTTTTTTTTTTTTTCAAGGGAGGGTTTGCCTTGTAAACCTTGGCTATCCTTGTGCTTGTAGTAGTCCTCGTGGCTGAGCCTCCAGGATGCAGAGCTTAAGGCCTGTACTGCTACACCCGGCTCCTTTTGAAGTTCTCCTGCCTCCCTGCCCTTTCTTAATGCCCTGTTTACACTCTTATTTATTGAGACAGGGTTTCTCTGTGTAGTCCTTGGCTGTCCTGGACTCACTTTGTAGACCAGGCTGGCCTCAAACTCACAGAGATCCACCTGCCTCTGCCTCCCTGAGTGCTGGGATTGCAGGTGTACGCCACCACACAGCTTATCTTGTACTCTTAAATGGGATTTTTAAATGAACAGACGTCTGTTAATTTTCATGGTTAATTAAAATTAACAGTTCAGTTCCTCCATTACACTGGCTACATTTCAAGTGCTCAATAGGCATATGTGGTCTGCGGTTGCCTTAAACGATGGGGTTTGTGGGCATTTCTGTTGCAGTTTAAATCCAGACATTGCTCTTCCAGAAACATTATTGTCTACCCACCTTGAGGTCTGCAGTAAGAATTAATGTCATATGCTGTGTAAAGATTAGAGATTTATTTAGTAGTGCTGGGAATTGAACCTAGGCCCTTCCATGTGTACTGCCACTAGAACACATCCTCAGTCCCAAGCTTTGTGTCATTTATTTCTCTATGCGTGGATAGCAGACTCAGCAGTGCATGAATGTGCTGGAAGTAGTCCATCCTCCAGGGAAGTGGCGGGCAGGAGCCCAAGTCAGGAACCGGAAGGCAGGAACTGAAGCAGAGGCCACTGAGGAGTGCTGTTTATTGGCTTGCTCCTCATGCCTTGCCCAGGCTGCTTCCTTGTGTATTCCCAGGACCACCTACCCGAAGATGGCACTACCCACATTATTAATCAAGAAAATGCACCACAGGCTTGCCAGGAGGCCAGTTCGATGGGGGCTTTTTTCAACTGAGGTTTCCCCTTCTAAAAGGACTCAAGTTTGTGTCAGGATGACATAGAAATAAGCAGCACAGGTAGGCAGGAAAACGATGATAACTGTCAGGATAGTATTTTCATATGGGAGGAGTAACCACAGGACTTGTAGATGCAGGCAATTAGTCTTTCTTACCCTGGGTAGAGATTTCAACTGTAAATGTTTTTACCTTATACTGAATGCACCTGTTCCATAGAGTTTATTGATAGTTTATTTCTCATAGTTCTAAACATTTATTAGTGTATATGAATTTCTGTGTATCGGTGTTCACGTGTGTGTGTGTGTGTGTGTGTGTGTGTGTGTGTGTAATGGCCTTCCACATGTGGCACAGAGAGCGGCGTGGTCTAGGACTCTGAGAGTATAAGTATGAGAGCAGAGAAGGAGAAGAGGTGCACGTGGCCTTCAGCATTGGCATGTGGTGAGTGGCAGTTTGGAGCAGAGGAGAGAAACGTTCTGGGGCACAGCGGTGTGGAGGAAACTGCTCGTTGCGTTGCTGGTTGATGGAGATTGGTGTAGAGCCCTAAAAGAACCTCTTGACCCTAAATAGCCAGGAGAAGTAAAGGGGTCTGGGCCACCTCTCCCCACTTACTTTTCTCTCTCCTGCTTAAGGTTGAGGGGAGGTAGAGGCCTAGACACCCCACATGAAGGAGAGTATTTAAAGACTGCTGCAGGTGGCCTTCCACCACACTGGTGCCCTCTTCCGGTTCCCAGTGACACTGCACAGACGAACATACAGGTACACATGTACCCATACACCCAAAAAAATATTTTTAGAAAGAAACTCTTCAGAATTGAGTATTTGCAGTCTTTGAAATCCCCCTTATAAATTTATAATAAGACAAACCAGATAGCCTCAACCAAGATTGAAGTTAACATCGATGTTGAGAGGACAAATGAAAAAAACAAAACAAAACAAAACATGCTCCCCTGGTAGGGTGTGACAGGGACAATCCAGCACAAGTCCTGAGAAGCAGGTTCCTAATGGAAACACACAGCTGGGACTGTGTAAAATCAGTCCAGTCAGCTCACGAAGGGAGTGTCAAGTTAGTTATCCAAAATAACTACTCAATCTTACAGAAGCTCTTACAGAGCTTCTCATGAAAGAGAAACTTCTAGACTGGAGAGAAGAGATCTGAAACGAAGTGAAAAGTGTTCTGCGTGGCTGTATTTGTATAATAGTCATCAATGAGGTCAGGAGAGATGGCAGAAAACAAGGCTGTTACTTTCCCGACTGGACAGTTGTGTTAGTGTCAAGAGAATGTCCTTGTTTGCAGCAAGCACATCCCTCATTGTGCTTATTTTTGTAGTTAGGATCTATGTTTTAGTATCTTGTTTTGTTTTTTAGTTCAAATCCATTCAGATCTTGGCATTATTCTCTTCGTTTTACAAGTTGAAATCTTAGTTTATAAAAGCCATGTAATTAGAAACAATGAATACAGGTAGTCATTTTAAGAACCTGAGAGATATTTATTGTTTAGTGATGTGTCCCAAGACTAGAGTGAAGGAATTCCTAAGGAAAATCCTGCACTTGAAACATCATGCCCTTAGTATTGGTCAGGCTTGTAGCACATCAGCTGTGAGTGTCAAAAGCCATGACATGTAGCCTCATTTCTGGAATATTTTGTTTTCTCATTTCTAACCCACCTGCTGATCACTCTCTTTTACTTTGAGAACTATCCCGGCTAGTTTTATGTCAGCTTAACACAAGCTAGAGTCATCAGAGAGGAGGGACCATTAATTGAGAAAATGTCTCCATAAGATCAGGCTGTAGGCAAGCCTGTAGGGCATTTCTTTAATTAGTGATGGATGGGGGAGAGCCAGCCCATTGTGAGTGGTGCTGCCCCTGGGCCGGTGGTTCTGGGTATTGTAAGAGAGCAGGGTGAGCGAGCCACGAGGAAGGAGCCAGTGAGCAGCGCAACTCCACAGCCTCTGCATCGGCTCCTGTTGCTGGTTCCTGCCCGGGTTGAGTTCCTGACTCCCCTGGTGATGAACAGTGACGTGAAAGTGTAATCCAGATGAACCTTTTCTCTGCAGTT